CCCCGCGCGCCCCCCGCACGAGCCGCCCCCACGACGCGGCGGCCGCCATGCGGCTCCTCGGCACCGGCGCGCGGGGGTCTGCCGCCGACAGCCCCGCGCGAGCCGTCACGCGGAGGGGGCGGGGAGGGAGAGCCCAATCAGAGCGGCGCCGGTGCCGCGCTGCACGCCGGGAGCTGTAGTCCGCCTCCCTCGCCCCCAGCCTCGCCCCCAGCCAGGTCCCGCGCCACCGGCGTGTCCTCCTGGGGCAGCGGCCACGGGCAGTTCGCACAGTCACAGAGTATGTTCAGGTGGAAGAGACCCACAAGGATCATCGAGTCCAACCCTTGGCCCTTGCACAGGGCCATCCCCAAGAGTCACACCATGTGCCCGAGAGTGTCGTCCAAACGCTTCTTGAACTCTGTCAGGCTTGATGCTGTGACTACATCCCTGGGAAATCTGTTCCAGCATCCAGCCACCCTCTTGGTAAAGAACTGTTACTGTAAATCGGTAAATAAGTAACCTCTAAAACTCAATTTGTGAGCATTAGCGGGCAGGCATTCCTTAATTATCAGCACTGGACACAGAGGAGGACAGCTCCTCTAATCACGTGTGTGCCCCGTTCTTGGCTCAGTGTAGCTACTGTTTGCTTACAATTTTACATATTCAGTAAATGTCTTACATATTCACTATTTCTCTTATAAATTTCATACATATGTTATTTAGGTCTAAGAACTTCTTTAGAAGTCCTTATTTGGTCAGTAGGGGTCTTCTGGTGGTCTCTGGTGGTTATTTGGATCTTGAACTTTACTTGAACTTGTCCATTGAGCAGTGTATTTACAGCTGGTTATAAAGTGCCTTTGTTCAGCATCTCGTATCCAAAACCTGGATACTTATGTTACCACTACTTTAACTAAAACATTCATAAACTTACTTATTCCACAACTACCTTAGCAGAAACTTACACTGTGAAGGCTGGTGCAAACTTACTGAACCATGGAGAATTATTGCTCTCAGAACCTTTTTCTAATACCCAACCTAAACCTCCCCTGACACAACTTCAGGCCGTTCCCTCGGGTCCTGTCACTGGTTACCACAGAGAAGAGATCAGTGCCTGCCCCTCCTCTTCCCCTCACGAGGAAGTTGTAGACTGCGATGAGGTCTCCCCTCAGTCTCCTCTTCTCCGGGCTGAACAGAACAAGTGACCTCAGCCACTCCTCATATGGCTTCCTCTCAAGGCCCTTCACCATCTTCATGGCTCTCTTCTGGATGGGAGCCCTGTGACCCTCAGCAGTGAGGGTAAAACCTGCACTTGACAGCCTTTGCCATCTGCCTTCCCCTGCCCCCATCTCAGCCCTCCAAAAGCCAGGCGTAGAGCCAAAACCTGCCCACCAGCTGCCTTTGAGGGAAATGTGGGCACTGAAGGACACACACATGGTGTACGTGTCCCAGCAAGGCCAGCCAGCGGATTGGGAAGAACAGATATCCTCAGCTGGGCAACATATCTGGTGGAAATGATAACTTCAATCCTGTCTCAGTCTCAAGTCAAATCTGTACAACCTTGTCTGAAGATAGGCACAGGAACTAAGTGAGGCATAATTGATCTTGTGGGGCATAAGAAAGCAATATTTCAGTTTTTCAGCCTGATATACTTTCCCCTACACTAGCAGTGTTTCAGACAAGGGGCTCATGATGTAAAGTCCAGTATCCCACTGTCCACCTCCAGGTGAGGGTCTGCAGAGTGTGGTCACCTATTGCCAAGCTGAACTGTAGACACTTGTTCTGTACACGCTTTACATGTGAAAGGAGGGCTTGGGTGGGATCACAAAATTTTCCTGGAACTCCTTCACTGAATCATGTCAGATATTCTTCCAAAAGACAGGGGATTCCCTAAATGACTTTATTTGCTCTTGGATTTAGAACTGTGCAGCTGTTAAGAATGAAACTCACAATTTTGTACTCCATGCTGTTCTATGATCACTCTTCCATTTAAAAGAATTTTGTTTACCATTGCCATATTGCTGTGCGAGGGGTATTTGCATTTGCAACTAATGGTTGCACATTAACAATTCTCTGCAGTCTTAATCCTTTAGTGTTTGACCTGTGCATTACTTGTTGATGATTGAGTAACTGGGCCTTACAATTGCTTGTGTCAGCTGTTATTTCCGGACATTGTTACATGTGCTGGTACAGATTCAATTGTTTAGTCAGGTTATACTTAAATCTTTGCTCTGTAACAAAACACCTCCTCCTGTCCAATTCGGTCTTAAGCGTTTAGACTTTAGACTTTATTCAGTCTTTAGGCTGGATACAAACTAACAGGAAAACTTAATGCAACATTGCTACTTCCTCCCCTCCCCCCCACTCCCCTCCCGCCAAAGCTTGAAGCCATTTGAAAAGAAACACACTCAAATGACTCATAATGTCACCAAACCTCTATTCTGAAACCATGCCCATCAGTATGATGTCAAGGTAACATATACACAGATCAAAACAGTACATAAAATACTGGTTTTAATTAAAATTTTTAAAAGATGCAGAAGCAAGCTTGCTGTTGACATTTACAGCAGCTTTATGAAGGCTCACTTCTCCCTGTAGAACTGGAATAACTGTAATTAAAGGATTTCCTGGATTTATTTGAAGAGCAAGTGATAATGAAAGTTGAAATACTGAAAGCATTTTAGCTTCATATTAAATGTAGTAATTGCTCAGTGAGCTTTTCAGTTGCGGAAAAGGTTGAATTAGATGTGCAACGAATAAAGATGAAAATTTGTAACAAACTCAGAAAGAGAAAAAAATTATTATTTGCTTCTTCAGCATTAAAAAAAAAAATCTTCAGGATCAGTAATATTCTACAGTAAATGTTCTTACCTACAGTGAAGAGTCTGGCTCTGTAGTTCTATTGTTATTTACTTTTCTTAAAGACTATGTTAATCTTAACTTACATCTTTAGTCTAATTGAATATGGTGGGGCTAAGCATATCTGGAAATGTAAGAAATTAAATGTCTTTGCATACTTGAAAGCTTTTTTTCAGTTTTATCAGATTGTACAAATATAGGTATGTTTCATTAAAATAGCATAAAATCAGCTTTTATGCTGATTTTATCAGGAATTGGATTTTGAGGCTGCTCAAACCATGACAAACATCCAAAGGTACACACCTCTTATTCTCAGAAGTACCTACTTCTGTTTGTCAGGAGCACTAAATGAAACCATAAAAAAATTGTAATGAAATAAGAACATCTGCATAAGAAATGATTCTGTTTTAACTTTACTGGGATACTGTAATGTCATGTTGTGCCACATCATGTCATGCCATGTCAGTCATGAAGAGTGTGTTTGCACATCTGAGACAGCAGCTGGAGGTTTGATTGCTTTGCTTTTCTTAGCAGCTATCTGAAGAACTAGTACTCAGTAAATAATTAAGGCTTTGAGATTTGCGTGTCTATGCCAAGATGCAGCACAGTGTCACACCCTTGAGTTGTATGTGACATTCTACCACAGCAAAACAATACCTATCTGCTTCTAGCTGCAGAGACCACTGTCACCCTAGTGAGGCTAAAGACGTTTAATCAAAGCAATTTTAGGATCCACAGAAACTCTTGCCAGTGGTGTTTCAGTTGTCTTCTAGACATAATGGAGACATTCACTTGTGTTTGGCACAGGCTACTTCTTTAGCCCAAATTCCAAAGAAAGGAATTTCCTGCCCTTCCTGCTACTGCCTTCCCTTTTGACTTACAGGGGCCCTAGATCAGCCATGTCTTATTTACCTGCTTATTTGTTTCAAGATTTTGCCAAATTCACATTTAAAGCCTTAGAGGTCTCATTCAGCACTTGTGCACATCCAGGGATTAACTAACTTCCCTAAGAGACTCTCCACTGTGCCATTTGTAAAGGTCTGTGTGACTGCCAAGGAGTGTTACATCCACATGGGCAATTGAAGGGCAGAGTCCAGTCCATGTCCTCAGGGGCCTACGCCAAAACAATATAAAAATGCAGAGTATTGGACTACTTCCAGTGCTATTCATGCTTCACATAAACACTGAATAAAGCTTTAGAGATATGTTAGTAGTAAAATAATAATAACTTAAAAGTCTCAGGAGAGAGCTCAGCATGTGAGCTGGACGCATCTGCCACAATGAATCAAATTGCCTCTTTGTCCAAACTAGGCATCGACTAAAAGTTACTCAACACCTTTCTGAAACGTTGGGCTACATGCCTGAACAAAAACCAGGGCAAAGTGGAGGATCTGATCCTATCCTCACGTGGAGCTGGAACACAGTCCGGACTCATGTTGGGACTACTGTTAGGAAAGACTGCATGAGTGCAAGCCAAGTCAAAGCCTCTGAGTCCAGCTTCCTGCAAACTGAGCATGAAATAACAGAATTTGCAAGACATATTCACTGTTTTATCTATTTCTAGCAAAAGCAGAACATCATCCCTCTTCACATTTGTTACTAGTGAACAACATAGGTGCTCCTTGAAAGAAACCACCACAAAGATAGAGGTTCACTGTCAAACTTCAGGGCATAAATGAGGTACGAATGACTAGCTTAGGAAATCTCACAGTTGCTCGTGAGATTTATAGCATT